CCAAGACCCCCGCCGGCACCTGGGGTGGCCTCTCCCCGCGCAAAGAGGATGAAGATCTCAACAACGTGCTGGATTTTATCCTCTCGATGGGCAGCGATGGCTACGGCCAGGGCGCGGCCGGTGGGGACTATCCCCCTGCCCAAGGGGAGAGCGGTGGCTTTTACCAGACAAACCCGTCCCCGGGATGCTACAGTGCCCTAGAGCAGGGCAGCCCCCCGCCCTACAATGCCGGCATCGTGCCGGAGATGATCCGCTCCGAGATGGACTCCAACTACTGCCCTCCTGGCAACGTCCACGGGCGGTTTTTCGTGACACCCAGCTTCGGGGGCCCACAGTTCGTTGAGAACATTAAGCCCGAACCCGACATGGACAATTATGGACCAGTCCTGGGGCTGGTGCCCCAGGCTTGCCCAAAGATCAAGCAGGAGGGCAATGCGACCTGCATGATGGCCTATGAGCAGCCCCGGGTGGCCAGCTCCCCCCAGATCCCCGGGGCAGAGACACCCCCGCTGAGCCCCGATGATCTCATGGTAAATGACTGCCACACGCAGATGATGTGCCCCTCGTCCGTGTCCTTCCAGCAAAGCTACCACCCAGCCTCCGGCTTCCACCACCCACAGACCCATCTCCAGTACCAGAACACCTCCCAGTTTGGCCTTTTCGAGGACAGCCTGCCCTTACAACCCTCCGCTCCCAGAGGCATGCTCACCCCTCCTTCCTCCCCTCTGGAGCTGCTGGACTCCAAACCAAAAAGAGGACGTCGGTCCTGGCCGCGGAAGAGGACGGCCACTCACACGTGCACCTACGCGGGTTGTGGGAAGACCTACACCAAGAGTTCGCACCTGAAGGCCCACCTCAGGACGCACACAGGTAAATGGGGCTGGTTGCCTTCATCCGGAGATACGCTGCTTGCCGGTGCCCACGTAAAACAGTTTGCAGCCTGAGCTTTAACCCTGTAGTCTCTCAAACTCTGGGAGTATTCACAGTTGAGCTATGACAGGTGGTCAGATCTATAACGTCTTAAGTGTTTTCCGATGCGTACATAGGTCAAAGCTTGTCTAAGGGCTTCTAATGCCCTTTCTCAAAAGATTTCCACTGCAGGTATAGGTTAATAAAGGAGTTACTAGAGCAGTCTCATTTGGCTTAAACCACTTGGATCTTGGTGTAGAAGGGCTCGGTAGCAAGGGAAAGGGTACGCTGAGATAAACTCGGAAGGTTGCCTAGCATGTGATGCTGCCGGTACGTGGGAGTGCGGCGCTGAGTCACGCTCTCTGTGATTTCTCCGACAGGTGAAAAGCCCTACCACTGCAACTGGGAAGGCTGCGGCTGGAAGTTCGCTCGCTCCGACGAGCTCACCCGTCACTATCGCAAGCACACCGGCCACCGGCCCTTCCAGTGCCACCTCTGCGACAGAGCGTTCTCCAGGTCAGACCACCTGGCTTTGCACATGAAACGGCACATGTAGCCCTAGAGACTCTGACCTGCGAACGGCGGACGTTATTTAACTGCTCAGGTGCAGAAGCGTTAAAAACTTGTAGCTGGTACTACGTAGGGAGGCACCGACGCTCTAGCGATGGAAGGTGAGGAGGATTTGACACAAGGAGACTTAGCCAGTCATCTCCTGCAGAGAATTCGACATGACTGTATCAGTGAACCTGCCCGTCCCGGTCAGGAGAATAGGGCTTATTTATGCAGCTTCTGGGAAGGGTAAACTCCATAAGACTCCATACAGACTGTATAGAAGAAGCTGTAAATATATATATTTTTTTTTCTCCCAATTCTAACTGCCCAGTCCTAAGCTTTACGAGACAATGTTTGTATGGAAACTGCCTGAAGTTGACCCTAGAAGAGAGTAAATGAATGTTACTGTAGCTAACGATGTTATTTTAGATCTCGGTTGAAGGCATGGCTAAGAAAACACTCCTATTGTTAGACTGTTTGTTTCACAGGTGCAATAATCTTCTTATTTGCCATGATCTACACTAGAAGTACAGGGCTTGATGTCTTGTAAGAAAATAACCTATTTTACTGTAATTTTTTTATATATTGTAAATAGTTTTATAAAATGAGAAATATTGTATATGTAAATAGAAGACAAATGGGTATTTTGCCTATTTCTGTTTTTATAAAAGTGTCGTTTTTCAATGTTTGAAAACATTGCATCTTTTTAATAAAATAAGTTTTTAATTGCTGTGATTTTTATTCTCCTTTGCGATCTCCCTGTTCCTTTTTCCCTGACGGCTGGGCCAACAGCCACCTGGTTATGTTTTAAATTATCAACAACTGTAAGAAGACACTTAAAAAATCTGAGCAATGGATTTTTCTAAAATAGGTAACCGAGTATGTAATTCATTCTCAGTGGTAAACAGGACTCAGTACGGTGTTTTATCAAAAAATCACATAGGAAAGTAGATCCTATTCAAAATATACTTCATAAAAATGGTTAAGTAAGCAACACTGTAATTTCAGTCTCATTTCTAGTTTATGCTAGACTATTTTAATAGCATCCTTAATGTTTTCCAGATGCAGTTATAGTTTTGCCAGCAGTGTGTGGGTTTTTACTATAAATTTAAACACTGCATTTTTGTAATTACGGAGGCTTATTTTAAGGCATTCTTGTACATAAATTATCCTTGTTCTCGAGAGCTCAGTGCAGAATTCCAATAGAACAGTAGTGGAATTTAAACATAAATTCACAACACAGGTTAAAATACCTTCATAACTCATTCCCTAAAACTTAAATTCACTAAATAATTTGTAATCCCAGCTAGATTTCAGGAGTTAAGAACGATATTAACTATTTTGGAGGAAAATAAGTTAGCCAGGAATCCAGATCCTGGGTCCTGCAATAGCTCTAGCAGTAAATAGCTGCAACAAGTCAATCTGAGTGCCCCCACCCCCCCAAAAAAAAAACCTCTTCCACAGCTGTAAATGAGCTATGCAATTACTCTGAAACGTTGCTGAGGATCCTCTGTTTTTACAGCTACGGTTTAGTGGTGGGCCTTGATACTTGTAGAACAAAAAATCACTGTTAATTAAGTATGCAGATGCAGTTTAATATTGCAGCATTTTTCCTTAACATCTGGATACTTTGAACTTGATTTTGATCAAGATTGTGACATTTTTCTGACTTCACAAGTTAGAATACACAAGAATGAAATCAACAGGAATACATTTGAAGTAACTACAAATACAGCTATTCTTCTGTGAAAGCAAAGTCTGCAGTTGTTCATGTGGAACAGATGTATTTTGGGCTTCTAATCATTGACATGGAAGAATGAGTTCCACATTTCACTTTTATAGCTCTTTCAAAGTGAAATAGAAGGGAGATATAACATTTCTTCATAAAAACCAAAACTCATTTATTTGCTAGAAAAAAAATTGCACAATCTAATTCCAGAAAGTGAGGATGACTTAAAGAGGTTCTAAAATTAGCACATTCATTGTTGCAACAGTTCTAGGTGTTTCCTCCTCTTTCCCCATAGCCAAAGATTTTCATATTTCATATTTCAGCATGTCCTTTGGTGTTCAACTTTAAGAACACAATTTTTGAAAGTAAAAGTCTCACCCTTACCTTTCCACAGTCACGTGCCTTTCCCTCATTCTTTCTGAAGAACTGGGAATGTTTTGAGTCATTCCTAGGTTTCAGTGCTACAGTGCAATCTTAAACTAGTCCCTCTTTTGTAATGTGCTTAAAAAAGACACGGAGGCTCTGGAAGGTCCCCAGACAGAGCTCTCCAGCTGTCGGGGAGAGCTTGGAAGCATCACGAGATGCTGATCTGGCTCTGCTCGCCCCCAGCCATCTCTCGTGACCTCTGCTTAGAGGCCGGCTACTGGGCTAGGTGGCCCTTTGGCCCTCCCGACTGGCAAGGGCGGAAGACGGCGACAGCCAGCGACCCAGCACAAAGCACAGGAACGCTGCACTGCGCCTGCATGCAGAGATAAACGTTCCTGCGCTCACCAACCTTTGAAAAAAACCAACCCCTTGTGTGGCTCCTCTGTAGCACCCACCGCAATGGGTGCTCCTCCTCCGGTACCTTTGCATGGGAGCATCCAAGCTTCCCTTTGCTCCAGTCAATAGTTTAGCTGTAAGGGTCATACCCTCCGCTACCTCTGCTCCTGTTCACTAGAAGGTCTTCAGATAAGACATTTGTTATCTGCATGCTACCGTGTTACCAGACAACGCTCAGATCTTGATGAACGGTGGAGACGTGCTCTGCTATGCGGTCTTCACTCGGTAAAGATGAGTAGGTTGTGTCCTCCGAGCTTTTGGATTTGTTGCAACTCAATTGAAAAGAGGGCAAATCCATCCTCATATCTAAATATATTTTAAAAAAACATATAAAAATATGTCAATATAGGCCTCTGAAAGTGGGGAGGGACAAGGGGGGAACAAAACACTAACAGAAGCTCATGACCAACTTTGTTTTAATTGTTTAAGGGAGGGCATATATGATGATTTCTGTGTGGTCTTTACAGGAAACTGCAGGTTCTTGAATCTCAAGATAATCTTGTAGCAGAAAGAAAGAGATGCTGATCTCATTCTTCTCACATTCTATTATGAGTAATTGTCAACTCTCTTTTATCTTTTTTTATTTGCTTTAAATTATTACATCCAAAGATGTATCAATGTGATTCCATCAATCTACCAAGCCTCCCCTGGCCAGCAGGAAATCACTAACGCTCTGCAACGTCTTCTAATAATAGATCTTCAGGTCGTCATCTTTTAAGTAATTTTGTCCTCATTAACATGAGAGACCCAGAATCCCTGATGCCTCCCAGGGAGCAAGCAGCAAAGACCTGCCCTTTCAATCTGCAGCTATCCTGGATTTCATTTTGACACACTA